TGATAAATATAGTTGAAGGGTTATAAAAAGTACGGTTAATTATGAAATAATACTTTGATATGATTTTAAACATTTATTTAGTTTCATAAAAGTCATAAAATTATAAGAAGTTTAAAAACTTATGAAATAAAAACAAAATAAAAGCTGGTATTATTATAGTAATAGCAGTATAATAATCATTATCAATACTGTTTCGGTAAATCAAATAAATGAAACAATAAAGAAATAATTTTTAACGGCAATTAAACTAAAATATAAACTTAAAATAAATATAAAATTTAAACTCAAAATAAAAAAAATAAACTTGAAATAAAAGTTGCAATTCTGTCTACAAACGTAAATCTTTAAAGACTTTAAAATAATCTTTAAAGACTTTCAAGTTAACAATAACTACTAGCTTAAATTAGGTTTGATTGGAAATTTTGTATGTTTTAGAAGCTTTAAAATACATTTAATATAATATGGCAAATTTCTTTTAAAGCCTTTTTCAGGGTTTTGGATAAATATTTAATTGGAGCCATCGTTCTTTGAAAAACTGAAAGACCGATTTAAAATCATACCCAAATAAATTTACTGATATTGAATATAATTTTAATAATATTTAATAAATTGTATTAGACTATTAGAAAGTTACTGCATTGAAGAGTGGCCTCGGCAACTTATTTTCGAGTAATTGCGATTCATATTAATCTAATAACTTACGATGTATGTTCGTTTTAATAATATGCAGGTTATAAAATGGTTATATTCCAAAAGCTTAATCGGATTAAAACTATCGTGTTTACAGGAATGTGATCGAAACCGCGCCCTATAAGTACCGTGCGCTATACGGGGTATACCTGTATTTTTATTCAATTTATATAATAGAAATTATTGATCATAGATAAAAAGGTAGAAATAAATGATTCTCTCATTACTACAATATTCTAGGTATATTGGGACAATGCAAATAAGTGAAAAAGATCGTGTACTTTCTTACTAAAGAGTAGTCATTTCAAACTCAATTATTAGGGTTAAAAATTTAAAAAAACATATACCGTAATTACGTTACAGTATTCTGTAGTCATTAACAAACTTAATAACACCAGAAACACCGCCGAATTTAAGAACAGTTGAAAATAAAAGATAAAACTATTTCAAGTCTACTTCTCGTAATTGCGGGATACTCACGGAATTACGTTCATTGGTTCAGTTGTGTGAACCTAATTGCGGGAGTCATGAAATTGACAATTTCTTGACAAATATATGCTCGATTTAACTATGGAACTAATCTCTTATTATTACTGATCAAAAATTTCACACATTTGAACCGATTAAGCTTATCGGAATCGAATAAAAACCTTAAGCAATGGAACCGTCACATAACCTAACTCGCGAACAAGCCAGTACGAAATGGCGATCGAGTCAAGACCGATGCTTTCAAAAGCTTTTTACGGCTTTAAAAACTAATATTTATATTCGAAAATCGTACTATTTTATTAGGGTTCAAATTATAATTGATGTGCTATTGAATAAAATTATTATTTATTGACCGTTTTCTTATTTTGCGATCAAAATGAAAAACTCCCGTAATAATGTACTATCCCGGAATAGTGTACGTTTACCATATTATGAAAATATTTTAAAATAGCATTAATTTCTAATTAGGTTAGATTAGTCTTAACGAAATCCTTATAAAATCTTATTTTAACTTTTTTTTTGATCCTTGGCAAGAAACCTAAAAATTATTCAAATTGCCTCAACCTTTAATCATTTATTTTTACGGGATTAGCAATATGTAGTTCATTTACATTATTGGATACTACGGCATTTAGAGAAATTATACATTCAAATATATCGTTTAAATATACTTTTTCATGCTTCTTATGTGTTACTAAATAAATATAGTTATATCCATTAAAATAAAATTTATTATTCGTTTAGAAACAAAAATGACTCGGGATATGAATTTTAGGCTGGTATTAATGTTACTCTTTACTACATGGTCTTACATTATGCAATTATTATATCTAAAATTTATAAATATTTCATAGGTGACCAATTTTTCCTCGATATTTTGGTTTCCGTACAAGTATGTTTTAAACTATGGCACACCCCAAATAAAAGCTAATAATTCCTTATCAATTGTGGCATAGTTTTTTTCATGATTGTTGAGCAGTCGGGATGCCAAAGCCACTGGCCTCTTTCGACTCACCGCTAGCATCTGTTGTCAAGATAAATGATTTTTCAAAATCAGGATACTGTAGTATGGATGCGCTACAAATTGCACTCTTGAAAGCATTAAATGATATTTCTTCCCGAGGATCCTATTTCCATGCCTCATTTTTTTTTCAACAATACATTCGATGAATTAGCAATTTTTACTAAATCTTCTATGAACTTCCTAGGATTACTGGCTAAACCTAAAAACATTGTTGTAAAATGTTGATTGATTGATTAAATTGCTTGACTTGCCAAGAGAGTGTGTGGTCTAGCGCCTGTTTCAAAGAGCCCGCGTCCTGCCATCAATATAGAGTGTCCATCTAGAAGAGTCTGTAGTAGCGAGTGGAAACTTGAATATGAGCTACGCAGAGATAGTAAATAATGGTGTTGGCCATGTGTGCACATGGCTCATAGAAACACAAGAGTATCGATATATATATATATATATATATATATATATATATATAAATTAGGGTGGTCCTTGATATGAACATTTTCGAATTTCCTTGCTCCCAAGGGCTCAAATGGTTTGAAATTAATAAAAAATAATTCTCTAAAAAAAAGACAAATGAATTAAAAGTAAAAATTCGTGTAATTTTTTATTGAAAATTCGACGTTTTTAAACATTTTTGGAATTTTTTTTATGCTATTTCTACTTTGATTGAATTGCGCTCTATCTAAAAGACAATATTAAGAGCTAAAACTTTTAGAGAACTGTTTTTTATCAATTTGGAAACATTTGAGCCCTTAGGAGCGAGGAAATTCAAAAATGTCCATATTAAGGATCACCTTAATATATATCTTAATATATATAAATTTAGTGTCACAGCTGTCGTCCACGATGGACGCCTAAAATACTGAACCGCATTGAAATTTGTTTTGCTCTACGTGTGCATATGGATCTAATTTAGGACATACGGTATATTGAAAATCTGAATTTATAGCCAAAATTTTATATAATAAATAAAAAAATTGACGTTTTACCATAGAATCAGTTTGAGTTCTGTCGAGAGTCTAGAGTCTCTAGATCAAATACCATAAAGCAACAAATGCTACAAATGCAACGAGCGATTCGAATGACGGTTGGTAAAATAGATACATAGATAAAAGAAGAATATAGATAAATAAGCACATAAGTATGCATGTAACACGAGACAAAAGCGTAAAGTGAGGTTATTGACCATTATTGATGTTTATTATTGTTTATTAATGGAATCGTTTATGAAATCAAATTTGCTTGAAGATCATACTGCTTATTGATAGAAGAGTTTTAGCAGAGAATATTATTTATGGTATATATGTTCATATATTGAACAGCGTCATTTTATTACACGATACAAATGAGGCATTATAATAAAATTTATCATTTTCCTAACAGCAACTAACTCTAATAACAACTAAATCTAATAAAGCACAGTGGTAAAATTCAAATATTCAAATAACTACTATGGATGATTAACGTTCAGTTGGTTGGGACTATTATTAATTAAGTTAATTATATTGATGGTGCACTATTGAGTCTATTGAAAAATAACCATGTAAGTATTAAATCATAGAAGTGTTTTATAGTAAATTCATTAAGCAGAAAACTGCAATGAATAAAATGTGCTAATATTACAGCCTGCAACAGATTGTGTTAATATCACAGCCCAAGATTGACGAAGGCATCAAACATGCTCCAATATTTTCAGGCAATGAATTTAAGAAATAAAACAGAAGCCATGTGCTGCAAAAAAGTTTTAAATGAGAAGTAATTTTTCTACAATGGTTTTCTTCGATACCATCAGATAGCACGATACCATTTAAGAGGTTACAATTTCTGATACATTTGGCATTTGCGATGACTATCACCAAAGCTCAGGGACAAACAATGTCCGTTTCTGGACTTGAATTAGAAAATCAATGTTTTTTGCACAGTTAATTAATTATATGTTGACCAAAGAGGATTTGATCAAAAATATCGTGCATCAATTGGTTTTAAGCTAGATTTACAAAAGCATTCATTATAGAGTAATAATAATTGAACAGTGATACAGCTATATGGAATGGAATGTTAGATGTTGAAAGGTGTAAAATTAGAATAATGTATGTAATGTAATAAATTATTTATATTGTATATATTTTTTATATATTGTGATATTTAATTTTAGGTTAGTATTATGCAGTTATTTGTATGTTTGCATAATTGTGTTCATGAAATATATGTATGTTGAATGTAATATAGATGGTGTTTTAATTAGTTAATAGCGAATTTGCTTAGAATATTATATATTATAATTATTTGTAATTATAATGAGAATTATTTAGAAGTGTATTTTGAATAATATTTAAATATATAACGAAAAAAGGTTAGAAATATATATATAAAGATGTCGGTGCCCAACAAAAGGTATAAATGATAACTCTTTTTGACGGTGAAAAATGTTGGCAGTCTTACTCCGCCTATGAAAAGGGTCAGATAACAAATTTTAGAATGATAGTAAAAAACATATATTTATAACTAGAAATTAAATGGAAATTTTACAGAAGATACATAATTCAAAAATTGTTTGTTTGATGTGTTATGTGTGGCGATGCAGTTCGTTGGGCTCAGTTTAGACAGAATAATTACTAAAATTTTTGTACACAGTACCGGGATTCTATCCGAGCATATCTTAGATCGAGTCGAGCATGTAGCTATTCGGCTAAACTTGCCGCACATTTTTCAATAATTTTCAGAAGTTCTCAAAAACAAAAAAATCTAATATATGTTTATAAAATAGTAATTTGCTTCAATTATTTAATTTCATCATTTTCAGATCTGATGAGTGAATACGTGATGCAGGTGGAATGGGACAAATGTGCCCTGCAGGAGTTAGACGTAACAGCCACAGATTTGTCGACTGAATGTCTCATTGATCTGCTGGTTCGAATACCATCGCTGCGTTTCCTCAGCGCTGGCCAACTCAACGGATTCAACGACAGTGTTCTCAAAGCATGGATGGAAATGGGAAATCCGAGGTAATCAAAAACTCAACATTTTTATGAATGCTTTATTCTACAAATATCTATGAGATGAAACGATACATAATAAATAAGAATTCCATTGAATTCGTTTTAGTTGATTTCACTAATTTTTTAGAAGTCCAGTTTGAGTTAAACCTTTTAACAAAATCCATAAAAACCTGTAATCTTCAACTTACAAGTGTTTATACAAGTGTATAAGAAGTATCTATACTTCTTTATGAGATTCCTATGCAGTTCTAAATTATTTTTCTTGTGTTTCTTGCTCATGCTTCGCTTTGAAGTTGATAAGGTTAGTTTTTCAGTGCACCATCTGGGACTAAGTAATATAATATTTGGACGCAAACCCATAGCCTGAATCTATACGTTTTTCTCGACTTCAATTAAAAAAAAATACTTCTAGTAATCCTATCGACTTGAAATTTCTTCACTTTTCCTAAAACTTCATTAACTATCGTTCAATGAAAAAATAAGGACGAAAAAATGTACAGAAGGATAATTATAAGAATATTAACTTTTTTATACTTCGAACGGTCGGAGTGGTCTGCCTAGACCACCCATACATTTTGAATGAAATATACGCTTTTTGATATATGTGAACCAGTATTTTGTCTTTTTTCTGGTATTTTCTATTCAAACTGCGTTTTATATATTCTTTGCTATGTGTTGTAACATGAATGTTAGTCTTTTCACGACGAGAGTGCCTTGAAAACCTACCCAACTTATTAGTCATCGCAAACATTGAAAATCGGATGTGTAATGCGTACATTATCAATAATTTTTCTACCCGTACTGCGTTCAAAAATTTTTTGGCAAACTTGTAGTAAAATTATATTTTCAACTTGAATTTTACAGCTCATTTCAAAGGCGACGTACCTCATTTCGTTTTCATTTGAATTTCACATTCATTTCGAAGGAGTTTTTCATTGATATAAATAAATGATATAAAACTAAAAAAAAAATCAATGAAAAATAAAAATAATAAAAAAAATAAAAAAGCAACGATTTTTTCATATTCTTTGATTTTTTTATATAATTTATATATTTTATATTATAATTTTTATTTTTTCACCTTCGAACGGCCGGAAAGGTCTGGCTGGACCACCATTCATTTTACATGCATTTATATGAGATAAATGAGTTTTTGGTGTCCTATATATTAACGATTATTAGTAGTAAATATTTATAGTTTTGATTTTTTCTTTTTCTTACCGTCTTTTGCATGTGTTGAGCTTGCTTATAATAAAAATATTATATATTATATTATATAGAAAAAATCAAGAAGTATAAAAAAAATCATTGCTTTTTTTTGTTAATTTTTCTGTTTCATATCAATGAAAAACAATATTTATTCTTTTTCGGCGTCTTTGAAATGAATGTGAAATTCAGATGAAAACGAAATGAGGTGCGTCGCCTTTGAAATGAGCTGTAAAACTCAAAGTGAAAATATAATTTCACTACAGGATTGCCAAAAAAAATTTCAAACGCAGTACGGGTAGAAATATTGTTGATAATGTGTGCATTACTCAACCGATTTTCATGTTTGCGATTACCAATAAGTTTGGTAGGTTTTTCAAGGAACTCTCGTCATGTAAATACTAACATTCATGTTACAACACATAGCAAAGAATATATACAACGCAGTTTGTATACTCGTTTAATATATCAAAAAGCGTATATTTCATACAAAATGTATGGGTGGTCTAGACAGACCTTTCCGACCGTTCGAAGTATAAAGAAGTTAATATCCTTATAATTATCCTTCTGTACATTTTTTCGTCCTGATGTTTTCATTGATCGACAGCTAATAAAATTTTAGGAAAAGTCAAGAAATTTCAAGTCGATAGGATTACTAGAAGTTTTTTTTTTTTTTTAATTGAAGTCGAAAAAAGTCTGTCCGGACCACGCCGACCGACGGAGGGTTAAAAAAACATTTGATTCTTATTGATGGAAAAGGGTGCTGATTAGTTTTTGGCGAAAGCAAATCCAGCCGTTTAGAAAATGCGACATAAAGAATGGTAATTCAGTTTTTTGAGGTAATGACGCCCCTCGTTAAAAATGATCATTTGACATATGCATATCAAATTATCAGATATTTTATACAGGTTTTAAAAATGAGCACTAAGGGTTCAGTACCAATATTTTTAATTTTTAAAGTTCACTTATACAGTTCGAACATATTTCAAAGTTTTCAGTTTTTTTTCAAAATTTATAAACATATACAAAGTTTCATACTTCAAATATAAATTTTAGTTTTTAGATAAAGAATTAAAAAGATGTTGCTTGGGTTCAGATCTAGTGAGTAAGGCGGCGCCAAGACAGCGGTGCTTTGTCTTGGTGGAACAGGATTTCTTTTTCTAGCAAATGCCCAAAATGAACAAAATTTTGGTGAGTTACTTTTAAAAGATGCGCAACTACATTTACCAGCTTTTATTGACGAGTGGCGTCATTATCTTGTTGAGATCTTTTTAACCCACGCTCGTATTTTAATCTATCTATGATAAAATTTGATGTTAATTTGATTTCCCGTTAGATGTAGAGGATACATGTTTGCTTCAACCTGCCACGCGTGGAACGCATGACGCCCAAGCAAGATCTTAAGGCTTTACTCTATAGTGAATATAATTATTGCAGTAAGTTTTTACTTGCATCGCCATGAACAAAACAACAATTATTTAGTTAAGATAATATGAGCTTCTAGCTCATCCAATATTTCAGTATCAGGTATAATGATAATAAAATTCAATTAAAATTTTTCATTTTGATAACAATAATCTGTCCATACAAGAGAATTGTCAAATCCTAAAATTTCAATAACAAAAATAGAAGATAAAACTATTAAACTTATTAACTAAACTGATGTTAACAATACTTTTATTAGCTTGCTAAATTAATTCAGCGCTCGAAGCGAACACATCGATTATACAATACCTGAGTACAATCAACAAGCATAATAAACAGCATTTATTTAGTCACAGTTTAGTGTAGTGTTTGATCTAGTAAGTGACTTTACTTGTGAATTCAGTGCTTTTTAATTAAATATAGTGCTCCCGTCAGGGAGTACTATAAATTATCACTCCACAATACCAATTGTGGAATCATTTAACATCATTCACGAAGACCAAAATAATTCTACTCAACTAGTTCTGAACCAGATGACTACAAAAAGAAATAACGATGATGCAGTAAACAGATCAACATTGTCGGATCCAACTCCCATTCCATCAACAAGTAATTTGTCTTCAATAGCAACAATGGATCCAGAGTCCACTGCACGCGATGTGATTGATTACACGAATAAAAACCCATGGCAAGAGGTAACTTCCGCTAAAAGACGTCGCCCGAACAACGCAGTAAGTAATGAAAGCGTTCCCATAAAATTAGCCAACAAATTCAGCGCTCTAGAAAACAAAGTTTCTAAACCATCAGACGAGGCAACAGATAATAAAAAATCTACTCCTCCGCCTTTATTTGTCTACGGGGTTCGAGATTACAATCTTATGATAGCGGATATTAATTCAATTATTAATAAAAACAAATACATCACTAAATACCTACCCAATAAAACTATTAAATTCAACATTTTTGAAATAGAAGACTACCGCAATTTTGTTAAATTTCTGCGTGAAAGAGACGTCGTTTTTCATACCTACCAGATAAAAGCGGAACGCTCATACAGGGTTGTACTCAAATATCTGCACTACGCCACAGATAAAAATGATATCAAAGCCGCAATTGAAAAAGAAGGTCATCCTGTCAGAAATATTACTAATATCATACATCCGAAAACTAAACAATTGCTGAACATGTTTTACATAGACTTAGAACCCAAAGAAAACAATTCGTCAATTTTTAAAATGAATAAAATGTTAAACCAAATAATTCATTTTGAGCCCCCAATAAGATCATCTAATATTCCGCAGTGTGTAAGGTGCCAAATGTACGGCCATACCCAGCGTTATTGCAACCGCAGATTTATATGTGTAAAATGCGGCTCTGATCATGAGTCTAAAAAGTGTACAAAAGCAGCTGAAGCCCCGCCCCTTTGTTATCATTGCGGCGATAATCATACCGCAAACTACAAAGGGTGTTCTTACTACCTTCACCTTGTCGGTGCAGATAACGATCAAGCAACAATAGGCAGAAGTAACGGGACTTATTTACACACAAATGCAAACCGGTACAAATCCAACCTTCACAACAATAGAATTTCTCAGTACGCAAATCCTCAGCATATGTCTTATGCTCAGGTAATAAAATCGCAATCAAACCTATTTAACAACAATCAAAATCACATTAACAACAGTAATTCTCCATCGATGTCTGATTTCCTGACTGAATTTAGAAATATGTTTAGCCAGATAATGGAACAAAACACCATGATTGTCAAAATGTTATCAACATTAATCAACATTAATAAAGCTAAATAATGGCTAATATTTTAAACTTAGGATTATGGAATGCTAACGGCTTGTATCAACACAAAGCCGAAGTAGAATTATTTTTGAGACACAACAATATCGACATCTTTTTAATTAGTGAAACACACTTCACCAAGTATTCAAACTTTTATATACCAAATTACAAGACATACTTCACTAACCATCCCGATGGCACCGCACATGGTGGGACTGCCATTATTGTAAAATCTAATCTTCTTCATTACGAACTGGATAAATACGAATCTGAAATTTTGCAAGCCACATCAATTTCATTAAAAATGAATTCATTCAACTTATGTGTTTCTGCAGTCTATTGTCCGCCGAGGCACAATATAACCAGTTTACAATTTCAAGATTTTTTCTCTACACTAGGTAGTCATTTCATCGCCGGCGGAGACTACAACAGCAAACACGTCAATTGGGGCTCAAGATTAAATAATCCCAAAGGAAAACAGCTATATGATACAATACATAAACTCAATTATAGTGTTCTTTCTTCAGGTTCCCCCACCTACTGGCCGAGCGATCCTGCCAAAAAACCAGATCTATTGGACT